TTTGAAACCCACCACTGCTATCTATCTATCTATCTATCTATCTATCTATCTATCTATCTATCTATCTATCTATCTATCTATCTATCTATCTATCTATCATCTATCTATCATCTATGTCCATCTCTCTCTCTCTCTTTCTTTCTCTCTCACCATAGAATCGGAAGAAATGAAATGTATACACCTATAATAAATAGAACAGAAAAGGAAATTAAACACAGATCTTTGTACATGTGAATGTGTTCTCTGTATGTGCATGTAGAAATCCATGCTCTTCAGAAGGAACATCCTGAGGTCTGGAAAAGTGTTTGATAAAGGAAGCAACGCAAATGCTCCGCAAAAGGCAACAGGAAATTAAAGTTAATTATAACGGAGGATTAATTTCAGCCATCAGACGTGGCATGCTGGGATAATGTCAGACTTAGGAGGCATGGCAATGTGCGCGGCGGCTCCTGAAGGGACTTTTTTTTAATGGAAATGGCATAAAACAAGCCTCTCGGCTGGATTCACACGTGGCATTTCGGATGCCCCATTTTGGCCCGTTTTAATGGCAGAAGCAAGTGATGGATGAGATTTAATCATCCTCCTGCCTCCAGGTTTCAGCTCACAGTTTCTCCCAAGGGTGCTCCAACCCTGATCTTAAGTCGTTGGATCCGTTCGAGATGGGGGGGGGGGGTGGTAAGCAGGAATGCAAAGGTTTTAAAGGAAGAAAGAGCGAGGGAGTTGGTGCTAGAAATGGTTTAGGTGAGGTTGGGACGAGGCTGTAGGCCATGTTGGGCATCCTGGTTCACCAACATCTGGAGGTCCCATGGATTCCTCACCTGTTTTGGAGTGCTCCAAGGTGGAGGTTTAAAAATGCAAATAATGTCACAGAAGGAGAACCAGAGCACAAAAATGCTGTTTAAAAGCCAAACCTCTATCTAGAAGAGAAGAGAAGAGGAGGTTGGAATAAATAGAGAAGAGGATAGAACAACAGAGTTGGAAGGGACCTTGGAGGCCTTCTAGTCCAACCCCCTGCCTAGGCAGAAAACCTTACACCACTTCAGACAAATGGTTATCCAACATCTTCTTAAAATCTCCCAGTGTTGGAGCATTCACAACTTCTGGAGGCCAGGTGTTCCACTGGTTAATTGTTCTACCTAGTTTGACTTTTACTCAGGAGTATCCCATTTTTCTCTCCCCATTAGATGCAGCCATCTGGAAGGGCTGTAATGAGTTCACAAACAAGAGATTCAGTCTTAGAAGTCAGGGGAAGGCAGCCTGTTTCAGAATTCTTTCGCTGCTGTCTCGGCCGTTGCCTCTTAGACGTGTTTTCTTGCTTTGAGCTTCGGCCGTCTCACAACCTCTGTGCCAGTTTTAATTTTGGGTGTCAAATCTCTTCTGCTCTTGGCTATTTTTAGAGGGCCTCAATGCCGAGTATGTGAAGGGAGAAAACATGGAAGCGGTGGTGACCGAAGAGCCACAAGGTGAGTGACTGTGTGCGTGTGTGTGTCCTTAAGGTCACACTGTGTCACAAGGGGGATGCACTCTGCCCCAGCTTTGTGGTGACAGCTCCTCCGAGCCTTCCCCAGACTCCAGGACCGGCCCATGTTCCTCCCCCATCTCCTCACTGTCCGAATCTGCTGGAGGGCCAGCACATGACCAATAGCATCCTTCAGAGCAACTGAAGACCAAGCGGGCTCCTTCAACTGAAAAGCAACTCAAATTACAGAATGTGAATGGCTCAGATGAGGGAATAGAAGGGGAACTTACCAAAGTTGCAGATGACACAAAGCTGGCAGGAATAGACAACACTCCAGAAGAGAAGACCTTGGCCGACACGAACAGCGGTCCCTGCCCAACAACATGGAATTTAAGGTGGAGAAAACCAAGGTTTACACCTAGGCAGAACCCCCTTGCCCCCCAAAGGTACAAAAGTACAGTTTAGGCAAAGCCCGACCCAGGAACAGGAAGAGGGACCTTGGAGTCTTAGTGGACAATCCCTTGAATGAGAGCCAGCCGTGTCTGGCGGTAAACCCCCCCCCCCCCAAAAAAAAAGCTAATCCTGGGCTGTATAAACAGAGGCATAGAATCAAAACCGCATGAATTTATCAGGACCGCTTTGTAAAACCTTCGTAAGGCCACATCCTGCATCCAGTTTTGGACACCATGTTACAAAACAAGATGTTGAGAATTTGGAAAAAGTGCAGAGAAGACGGTTAAAGGCCTGGAGACGAAGGGGTTGCGGGTGGGCAGACGAGAGAAAAGGAGGACGGGGGGTGGAAGGGGGGGGGACCTGATAGGAGTCTTCCAGTATTGGAAGGGCTGCCACAAAGGAGTAGAAGACCTCCAAGGTGACTTCCCATCCGTGGGGGGATTCACTGACCTCTGCTGCTGGTTCACACGTGAGCGCTGCGCAGAATGTCGCACATCATGTTGGGGTCAGAGGTGGGTTTCTACCGGTTCGGCTGAACCGGTAATAACAAGACGGCCTGGTAGTAACTTTTTGCACGCCGAACCGGCGGTAACACTGACAGCAACACACCCACTGGTCGGGGTGGGTGGGCGGAGCCTCCAGCCGCCACCGCTACCATTTCGCCTGAACTGGTGAGAGGTGGCAGAATACGCCCTCTGCTACTCCAACCGATTGATGAACGTGGCTTTCTGTATTTGCCTGTTTCTTATTTTCCTGCAAGAGCAAACTAAAACGTTCTCTTTTTTCCCCTTCCCTAGTGAAATACTCTGTTCTCGAACCACAGACAGCGGAAGCTCCACCGCCTCAAGAAAACGCAAAAGTCTGAAATCTCAGCCCCTCCGGCTTAAAAACAAACAAAAACACCAATTGTTGGCAAAAAAAAAAACAAAAAACAAAAAAAAATACACATGGCACACACACACACACACACACACACACACAAGCGCCCACACATCCACGCACACGCTCCTCTCACACAATTTGTAATTTAGCTTTGAACGAAATGTTTGATTTGGATTCCAAAGCGATTTAAATGTGCATTCCCCCCCCTGACTAGGGCAGGCTTCTTACTTGTGGTAGCCTTGTAGACTGGTTGGGAAAAAAAAAAAGAAGAAATAATGATGATGTTTTTTAGGGTTTGGTTTTTGTTTTGCTTTTTTGCTTTTTTAAATTTTTTAATATATCGTTTCGTGAAGAGTCGTAGGTTTACATTGCCCGTGGGTCATGTCCGAGCTTCAGTCAGGTTGAATATGAAACGCAAAGGTTCTTCCAAGTGGTTCTTTCATCGTAGACGTAGACGTGTTCATGAATGACGTTTTGATGGGACGGGTTGGGGAGAGAGAGAAGGGGGGGGGGCAGCTAAGGTAGCCAGAGAACAGGGGTGAGGACAGTTGAAGTGCCTGTAGGTGACCAACCCAAAATAAACCAGGTGGAGACCTTTAGCCAGGTTTCGGCTCTTGGTTCCACGTGGAGGTCCATCCAGGTCCTGGTGAGCTCTTTGAGAAGATGAGCTTCGAGACAGAATTCAAGACCGATGCGACCGTCTTTAAGAGGTCGGGCTGAGCAGAGACTGTGGGCTTCATTTCTGCTAGGAACCATCTGGAGTTGTCGTTTGGCTTTGAGTAGGACCAGGGATCCTGTGTGAATCCACAGCAAGAGGCTAAAGAGGGAATTGAACCTCACTGAGCTGCTGACTGCCAAAAAGGGCTCTCTCTCCCCCCCCCCCCAACTGCGGTTCGTTTTGGACAGAATGCGTGGGCTTCTGGCTTCTCGGTGGTGGTTCTCCAACTGTGCAGAGAGGCTCCAAAGCTTGAGAGAGCTTGAGGATGGACCGAGGGGGTGCGTTGATTCATCTGCGCACCCTTTCCTGTACTCTAGTTCAGTCTGGAAGGAAGGAGACATCCAGGGCAGCGCAGAATGAATGGGCTAACATCCAGGAAAAGGGAGGTGGGTTTTGCTTCGGGAAAACACCAGCGACGGTTTTCAAGGTCTGCTGGTCCGAACGTTTCCCCAGTTGGTGTTTTAGGGGCCTGTCATCACATCCCGCCGATTCGTACTTTGGGCCTGGGGTTCCCCAAGGAACCCCCATCTGAGTTCAGCTGGGATGTGGGCCGCTGTGTTTACTTGCTTGTCCAGCCTTTGAAGTTTTTTTTTCAAGGAGAGGAGAAGGTTCTGGCCATTTGAGCTCTTTCCCTGGATGGAGCCCAACTTTTAGGAGCTCCTCCTGTCCACGGAAGGTGCCCTTCTGTTTGTGCTTCTTGGGACATCAGAAAGCCTCCCGGTCCCTAGGAAAGCCCTGAGAAGACGACCACCAGGTGGAGCTGAGCCAAGATCTTGGGTGGGACTTGTCCCATTGGCCATCAAGTAGCACAAGGTTGCTTCGTTATCTCTGGGGAGGTGAAACCATCCCTTCAGGGTAGGAGTGCCACCTCGGTCCTCCATCCTCTTCATATCAAATCATCTGCGCTGCTCCTCCCGCTGTGCCTAGAGTCATTTGTTGGGCTTACATTTCCTTGCCTTAACTCGGGGGTCAGCAACCTTAAACACTTAAAGACCCACAAAGGTCCTAACCGGAAGCCCCCCGTTCAATTCTGGAGCCAACCGGAACTCGTTTCCCACCGTAGAGTCTCCTCCTAGCGCAGCGTCCATTTCCCCCTAACCGTCCTAACTGAAAGCCCTATCAACTGTGGAGCCGCAGCAGAGGGATGAAAGAGCCACATGCAGCTCCAGAGCCGCAGGTTGCCGAGACCCCTGCCTTAACTAGAGACCACCAGGGAGTCTAAGGAACGGTGGTGAGATACCTGCTACTGTTCATGGTCTTCTTTTGGTTGGCTCATGAGGGGGAAGACCACTCGTAGCTCTTCAC